TCGTCGTGCTTTCTTGGAACGGCTTGGACTTCAGATGCGTCAGCATGCTGAAGCTGGAGACCACCTGTCCGAATGGCGCACGCTGAAGACCATTCTACGTTACGGAGGGCGCAAGGGACGCAAGGAGCGCAACCTTATGCTGGTGGACTCCGAAGGTCGACCTGCCATGACGGACGAGGACGAAAGCCGTATCATCATCGAGCACTTCGCCACCACAGAAGATGCCGAGCTCATGACGAACACGGAGCTCATCACTTACTACAATTCCAAGCTCAACCACAACCCTACCCAGGTCGAGCTGAAGCCAGACCTTGTCCCGAGTATTGGTCAGGTATCAGAGCTTTTTACTACTCTCAAGCGTCGGAAAGCACCAGGTCGGGATGGTATACTTCCTGAGCTTCTCCTTGCTGCACCTAGGACACTCGCACGCATCTACCATCCGATCCTGGTAAAGTGCGCCCTCCACCAGCAGGAGCCCTACGCGTGGAAGCACGGCATCGTACACCCTCTCCATAAAGGTGTTGGTCCTGACCACGATCTTTCCTTCTTTCGGTCGATCCTGCTCAACCCGATTATTTCCAAACTTTGGCATAAGTTCATCAGGAGGCAGCTGGCGACTTACCTTCATCACCTCCTTCATGATACTCAATGTGGTGGTCAAGTACGGCATGGTCCGACTCAACTTATTCACTTGGTGCATTCATATATAGCAGGGCTCCCTCGACTTCGTGCGGACGGTATTATTGTGTTCCTCGATTTGGTTTCTGCCTTCTACTCTACGGTTCGACATCAGGTCCTTCCTGCCTTACATCTACATGATGACGAAGACTATGTCCAGCAACACCACGACTTTCCCATCGCCATGCTACCGATGGTGACCTTTGTTCTCTCGCAGCCGGCGGCCATTGACAAGATCGAGCACGAACCACACCTAATTGCACTACTCATCGAAGCTCACCGTGCTACACATTTCGGTACTCGTGAAGGTGATCTAGTTGCTCGTTCGCGGCGGGGAAGCCGCCCAGGTTCGGCGCTCGCTGATGCCATATTCAACCTTGGATTCGCTGCCCCTCTTGCACTCGCTCGTGACAAGATGCGAGACCTGCGCCTCTCTACAGCGATTACGATGGCCGAGAATGAATTGATTTTCTCGCGATCTGCTGAGCAGGCCGAGCTTGCGGACGCCTCTTTCGTGGATGATGCGATCTTCTTGGGCTGTAACCATTCCGACAGCACCACCATCGACATCGCTGGCCAGCTACTCGACGACATCCACCTCGTCATGGTTTCCCATGGCTTCCAAGTCAACTACAAGCGTTCCAAGACCAATGTCATGCTCATCCCGCATCGCCGAGACTCCGAACTTTTTCGACTGGTTAGCCAAGAAGGAGAGCTACGACTTCAGACACCATACTGGAATCTACAAGTGCATCTCACAGAGTCATACAAGTACCTGGGTACCCCCATCGATGCTCAGGCCAAGAACTCGCATAAGATTAAGTTCGCTATCGCAAAGCAAGCCCAGGCGTTCGGTCCTATCAAGCGTATGATCAAGAAGTTTCCGTCGACGACAGCGATAAGCCACACGTGTTTGACCGACTCGATGTGCAACATTCATTTGCTATACTCGACTGAAGTTTGGAACAACTTCACGGCGAACGACTTCAAGATGCTGGATTCACCGCGTATCTCATCCTATCGGGTAATACAAGCTCGCAAGCACCATGCAGGTAGCCTCCGTCACTTCTTCGATGAGGAAGTTCTTGTTAAAGCTATGCGTACTCCGTTGCATACGGTTGTTAGGCGTCGGCGCCTTATCTACTTTTGCACATTGTTTGTGAATGCTCCCAAGATTTTATTCGCCATGGTGGACTTCGTAGCTGGACTGCCTGGCTCTTGGACGTCCCTCTTGCAGCTCGACCTCCAGTGGTTGGATGAATACGACAACCAGACCGAGCCTACCACATTGCAGTCAGCCTTTCAGCACATCCAGAGCGACCCGCACTCTTTTCGGCTTCGAATAGGTCGTGCTTGGCGTAGGTTTCGTGCTGCTGAAATTGACAGACTACGTCAGGCTGCACTACTTCGTCACCTTCAGCGGGTGCTCGACAATTCCAAGACGGCGACAACTTCTACAGGATTCATATGTTACCAGTGTGGGGCTGTTCTTTTTACAAAAGCCAGTTGGAGGATTCATTTGCTACGCCATCAGCCGCTCGACCTTGCTCAGCGCTTCGCCTTCGACAATATTTGTCGGTGTTGTACGACTAGATTCAGTGATCGTGCCAATCTCATCAGACATCTGCGCCGCCCAGGCAACCGTTGTTTTTATTGGCTGTTGGAAGCGCTCGATCCTCTTGATCAAGAAAGAGCTGCACAACTACATCAGGAAGACCTGGTTCATCAGCGAGCTCTGGACCGTCAAGGTTATCATCGGACTCGTGTCAGGACCCCTGCATGCCATGGCGGGGAAGGCCTCAGTCCATTCGAGTATATTCCGTTGGAGGCCCCTTCAGTGCTGGTAGATGTGGAGCCTCCTTTGGGACGAGTACTACGACGACATCTTTGGAAGCAAGGGGAGCCTGCCAAAGTAGTGTATATTACTACGGGCACGACAACTACTTTTACATCGTGGGTGACTTCAGTGCTTTTTATTCCATGCCAGTGCATCACCGTTGATGAGTTCACGGATGACACCTCAGATGCCTTATACGTGGACATGATGCATGGAGGGGTATTTGCCCTATTTATTGAGATTGACTGCCCTGAGTGGTCCCGTGATCTCGATCTTCTTGAGCAAGGCCAGCAACTCCGAAGAGACGACCAATGGCGCCCGCATGCGACGGCAAAAAGGCAGCACCACCTTTACCTTGAGAACGAAATCCTCACACGGGCCTTGTATTTGATTGCCACAGCTCGTGCTATGGGTGTTCCTGCTGCATTGATAGGCGAGAAGCACGTACTTCATCGTGCATTGTCCCCGCGTACCGACATTCTGGCGTTGCTTGAGTCCATGGGTATCCAGTTCACGTTCCTGGACCAGCACGACTACGACGGCGGCTCGCTCGACCACCTCCTCCTGATCAACACGCACTTGAATCTGGAGGCTCTGGCTCGTGCTCCACAGGGTGCAGGGCCTCGCGCTGGACGGCTACAGGTTCGTCCAGGGACTCATCGTCTACTGATCGGGGCGCTGTATATGACCACGTCGTGGATCTCCCATCGGAGACGAGTAGATATTTGAGCAGGTTTTAGATGTGGTGGTGGTGGAGGATTATGAGTCTGGATGGTGGCGGAGGAGGAACTGTATCTGTCCCTCTCCTTGGCGGCCCCCCGTATTTAGGTCATACTCGTGTTCTGCGCTACCAAGGAGTAGATGCGCTATCGGGGGGCCGACCAAGGAGGGGGCCGAGGCGTTCTCCCGCAGGGGACGGGGAGGGCACGGGAGGCGCAAGTGGTAAGGCGGGTGAAACAAACCGTCGAGCGCCACCCCAAGCCTCCCCGTCCCCCAAGCCCCTGCTGTGCTGCTGCTCGTCGTCCTGGCGGCGTGCCACCAGGGACGAGCAGGAGCTCGTCGTCCTGGCGGCGTGCTACCAGGGGCGAGCAGGAGCTCGTCGTCCTGGCGGCGTGCCACCAGGGGCGAGCTCACCTGCGTCCTGGCACTGGCTCCAGCTGGCCTCGTCTTTCTCCTCAAGGCTCAGGACCCTCAAGGCCCAGGAAGTTCTCCCCTTCTTCGAGGCCAGCCCTGGAGCGTCTTGTCCTTTTTGATCGCTCCCTATCGGGGGCGACCTGTACCACGACCTCCGCGACCCTGCTGAGGGAGGTCGTGGCTCTGCCTTGCCGAGCCTCCTAGGAGGCTCCGACTGACGCCTCAGCGGGATCGCTTGGCGGCCTGGCTAAGAAAGGGGGGGGGGAAGAAAGGTGCCCTTTTCGGGCCCTAAAGGCCCCCCTTCTGGGCTGGAAGGGCCCGTGCAGGGGCCCCAAAGGGCCTCATCTCGGCCGCCCGCGTTCCCCCCCCCCCCCCCTTTTTGGCGCTCCCCCCATGACACGCCCCCCCAGCGGTTTTTCGGGGATGGACAGGCCCCCCCATCGACCTGGAGTCGTCGACACGTCGCCGAAAGATCGGTGCTAGACCCCCGACAAGGAATCTGCACGTTCTTGGGCAGGTTGGGGCTATCGGGCCCCTGTCGGCGATCGATCGGGGATGGACAGACCCCCCTTTAGCAAAACGTGGTTTAGTGAAAACGACCTGAGGCCCAAACCTGGCGGGCGCAAGCCTGGAAAATAACGGCCACGGCGCCCTCTCGAGAACCGAAAGCGGGCAATTCACTAATCGACGTGTCACTGGTTGGGGGTTCTGTCCACTCCCGAGTTTTGGAAGTCGAGTCCGGCTCCCAGCAATGCGCAGATGCGCACTTTCCTTGAAATCAAAGTCGCCACGCAGCTTCCCCCCCAGCCATGCTCGCGTCGTACAAGGAGCAAGACGAGGAGCGCTCTGGCCCCCGTCGGCCCTCCCCGGGCCTCGGGACCTTCAAAACACGAGTCAGCCTGAAAAGCCGGCCCTGGGGAGAAGGTGTAAAGGGGCCCCAGGACACACAAATAAATACACACAAATAAATGTATTCCCCATATTTTCCCATATTTTCTGGGTTTCTGTCTTCCCCCCCAATCCCCATATTTTGCCATATTTTCCTGGGAGTCGACGATGAATTGTGTCTGTGTGTTTCTTTCCCTCCTGAAGGTTGGGACTCCTGGGGACCGCGCGAGTATTGAACACACCCTGAGATCCGACGTTGCGAACAAAATGCTCCCTCGCAAGAAGTCGCGCCCAGAGCCCCGCACCCCATCCTTCGGCGTCATCTTTCCAGCCGGATCGATCCGTGAGGGTCCTGGGGCCCGAAATGGAGCGAGAACGCCCGTTGTGAAAACATTGCAGCGCCAGGATCTCAGAAAACATCGGGGCATCGCATGTCTGGGCCCCGCTCCAGCGGCACCCGGTCCTTCTCCTGCTGCAAGTCCTCCCGCTGCTGCCGCAGCTGCTGGAGGCTGCTGGAGAACCGGACTCTCTCCTGCTGCAGCTCGTACTGGCTCCGCTCGATCCTGCTGCGGTCGTGCCTCAGTCGCACGTCGAGTCGGTCGAGGAGGTCGCGCAGGCCGTTGCTCAGGGAGGTCAGCTCTTCTGCCTCGGGGCAGGCTAGGAGGAGGAGGAGGAGGACCACGAGGAGTCGGAGGTGTCGGGCTCCATCTTGAAACCTGCCCCGGGGGCTCAAGATGGCGCCCACGAGGCCCCGAAGTGGCCTGGCGAAGCCCACGATGGCCCCTGAGGGGGCCCAGGATTGCCCCAGGACGTGGTGAAAGCAAATGGCGTGGCAGCACTTGGGAGCAAGCAGGAGCAGAAGCAGGAGTAGGAGCAGGAGGAGGAGGAGGTGATGCCTCCCCGAGGTAGCCGCCCTCGTCGTCGCCGCCCTCGCTGATGTGCCCGCGGGACTGCTCGCTGCCAGGGGAGTGAACGCTGACCATCCAACCGCAAAAGCTCGGGGGGCGGCACAGAGATCTAGAGAATCTCCTGCCCTGACCTGAGGGGCAAAGGTATGGGGGGGGGACTGGCGTTGGGGGGCACATCGACCTGCAATCGGCGATACAGTCGGGGCGTTGACCTAAGGAACCCTAAATGAGGAACGAGGCCCTTTTTTTTCCATAAGCTAACCTTCGATTTCCTGTCGAAAACATCAGGAAAGCCTGAGGCAAGTGAAACACTGAAGGAACGCGGAGCCCCTCCCCAACGAAAAGGGTTCCTTCTTCAGGGCCCCGACTGTACACTGCCGATGCATCGGCAATAAGCCCCCGATCGTGAATCCGCACGTTCCTGGGCAAATCGGGGCGATCGGGCCCCTCTCCGCGCTCCATGGGCGATTGGAGGTCGATGCATCCTCTCTCTGCCCACTCCCCGCTCTCGTTGCCCCTGATGACCCGGGGCGCGGGTCGAGAAGCCCGCCCTTCCCACGACGCGATCCTCGCTCGCCCCCTCCAAGACGCGTGCAGATGGCCGCCTCCGCGTCCTCCGGACCCGCGACCCCCTCCTCCCCCTTCTCCTCCTCATCCTTCCTCCTCCTCCTCATCTGCACGCGTCTTTGAGGGGGCGAGGAGGAGGAGGAGGAGGAGGGGGAGGAGGAGGAGGAGATGAGGAGGAGAATGAGGAGGAGGATGAGGAGGGAAATGGGACGGGGGAGGAGGAGGGGGAGGGGGAGGGAGGGGAGGGGGGGAGGAGGAGAGGAGGAGGAGGAGGAGGAGGAGGCGGAAGGAGGAGGAGGAGGAGGAGGAGGAGGAGGAGGAGGAGGAGGAGGAGGTAGGAGGGAGGGAGGAGGGGAGGAGGGGAAGGAGGAGGAGGAGGAGGAGGGAGGAGGAGGAGGGAAAAGTCGGCGACCCCCCCGACAAACGCCGCCTCTCAGGGACGCCGCTTCTGCCGGCTTCCGCCGGCGGCGCCGCCCTCGCCTTGAAGTTCCCGCCGCCCTTCCGGCACCCTCCCGCCGAGGGAGGCTACCCCAGACATGCGACGTCCTGATTTTTTTCAGGACGGCGTCCCCGGAAATCCCGACCCTTTCCCCGGGGCCGGCTTGTCCTCCCGAGTCGTTTTTTGACGGTCCCGGGGCCCGGCGAGGGCCCCCAGGGGCCGAAAATAGACAAAAACCTGCCGTCCTGATTTTTCTACGACGCGATCCTGTCTGGGCTTCGCTGTCGAGAGGCATCCGAGAGGCGGCGGAGGGGGGCGGCGGGAGCAAAAGGCGGAGGGCGCCTGCGCCGGCGGAGGCAGGCAGAAGAGGCGCCCCTGTGAGGCGGCATGTTTTTTTTTGGGGGGGGGGGTCAGTAGGAAGAGAAGGGGGAGGAGGAGGGGGAGGAGGAGGAG